TCGTGACTTGTCCTGGGGTGAGATTTGAACTCGTGACTTTAGCGTAAGAGGTATGGATGTTAACCACTACGCCGGGGTCGGGGCTGAATTTTGCGTTTTTAATAATGTAATATCCCAGTGAAGCTCGTGTGTGTCAGTCTCAGGGCCGATATTTTCACCTCCGCTTAAGCCTTAAAACAGTTTTAAGATTTAAGCAGAGGTGAACAAATCGACCCTCAGAGCATCTAAATTTACAAGAGACTTTCGTAGTGTGTAGTTAGGCATTCTTCTCTGAAATAACTTGGTATCATCAGTCGAATTCCTTGGATATTCTTTGGAATTTTCATTGATATTTCTAGATAATTCATTAAAGACTTCTGAGAATCTAGCCCAGACCAATATCATTGAAAAGTTTCCAAGGTGCAGAATTTATTTTCGAGGAAAGGAAGTTTATTTTTCCCGATTTGTTCTCGAAATTCAAAACTATTCCAAGTTTGTTTCCCGTTGTTTTAAAATTCCTTGCTATAATTGTTTATTTTTTGACAGATATGCATGTTTCGTCATAACTACTGTAGACTTTCTTAATGAAAAGTAGTCAATTTAATCATTTTGATGATATTTATCACACCCTATATTAGATTGGAAAAAGTGACTTTAGTGACTATTTTTAGTAAAATAGTGAGTTTAGTGACTTTTTGGTGTAAAAAGTGACTTTTTAGTGACTGATTTAAAAATAGTGACCAAGCCACTAAAAAGTGATCTGCTACCAGACCTGCTATTATTGCCGAAATTTTACAATTGATCACAAATATTACATTTAAGCGAGAAATTCCACAATCAATTCTTTTTTCTACCGATTGAGCAAAACAAAATTTACGAACTATTGTCCAATTCACTGGAGGCAAAACGCGCCAAAACCGTCGCAGAAATCGTAATCATAGAAATTCCTATGGTGACCATTTGTGCAACGGTTTTGACACAATATTGCTTTTTTAAGATTTCGTGCGTTTTCGCGCATCGATAATTTTTCATACGAAATAGGGACGTTACTGTCGTGAGAAAATAGTGATTTCCCTTTCACAGACCTCAGCATTCAGTACCAAGCGCTGACAAAATCTCACGGCATCTTTATTTACGCTTTTGAATTCAAATTGTAAATCCTTTCTACTTGGAGAATTATGCTAAGAAACGGAACCACAGAAACGCTCCGTTTTCGAATGAAGAAAAATAATGGATGCGCGTACACAAACCGGAAGCAATATTTTTGAAAAAGTAATAGATAGTGATATTTTGTTTGCTCCATCGGTAGATAAAAGATGTAGCGAAGGATTTCTCGCATATGTGCTGATCACGAGATGTTCGCTATCAATTGCAAAATTTCGCTAAAAATAGGTGCAGAATTGAGCTCTTATTTTTTTTTCAAGCATCCTGAAGTCCATTAATACAGATTAATGAAATAGGCGTGGAATTGTTCATCGTTATTGACAAATAGTTTCTTTTTTGATCATGTGTGAAAAAATGCATGTTATCTCCTGAGAAGATTGACATGGTTTTTTAATTAATTTTTGGTTAGGTTTAAAAGTATTCATCAGTTATATCGACATAATTAATAATTCTATTCAAATGATCCACCATTAAATCTTAGTTGATTTTAGGTAAAGAAAAATTAGAAATGTCCAACTTAGATGGCCGGCAGTGTTATTATGGAAGAACTCTCTCTACAATGTCGCATTTATGGTCATTGTAGACAGCTTTAGTCTGGGAGTTAGAAACCCTAATAAAAAATAACCATAAACGAACGATAACCCAAATCATTGAACTATTCCACAAATGGTTTGGATGATACCCAGAACACGTCGTTAAGCAAATTAACCATACAATTTTTATTAGGGAAGTGATAGCTCTATTGCAGATCCAGCAGCCCATTTCAGAATGTCTGGAGAGAGTCATGCCCATTCCGAGGTTACTTTCACTTACAATAAGCCCCGCATGTATGTATTACCTTTGTTACTAGCGTAACATAGGTATTAGAATCGATTTTCACACGTTCTGCCGTCTGCGCCCGATAGCCATCCACACAAGCTATCTCACCTGTATAAAACATTCCCAATCTATAAAGCCCAATCGATTCCCAATTTAATCAAGGCAAGATTTTTTCGAGATGGCTTATTCGATCAATATGGTTGATACGTGCATGTCCCTGCTTTTTTTTTTTTTTTTCAGTCAGAAGAAGGCTTTATGTTTAGTTTGGGCGTTATGATGAGAAGAAGAAATCGGACGCAAAATCGTGGAATGTAGGGAAGAATAGTCCATAATGCACCCTTGGGGTAAAATGGCCCCGTGCAGTTTTTCGATGCTTATCCATTACTAATTCTGGAAATATCATGTGCCAGAATGTTAGTTCAAGCACTGAACTAGCAATGTTGATTTTTAAATTCACGAATTGACAATCGGAAGACTATGAAAAACAGCGCAGGACCATTTCAAGGCCAGGGGTGCGTTTTGAACCATCCTACCCTACGTATTCCAATAGACCTTTTCGATGCTGAATCGTCTTTCCCTATCTATCACACATGTATGAATCGACGGTGTATTTTCCCACTAATCTGTTACCCTCTTGCTCGCACTCGTTGGACTTAAATGGTACAGTAGTGTGCGCCGATTAGACGTCGAGAAGCTCTATAAGACCAATGAGCTGGATTACCGAGGTGAAGCAATCGGTTAAGTTGTGTGAGTAAAACCCCTGTACGATGATGTAGTGACGTCAGTAGTGAAATGTGGTCCTGGGCCCACTGCAATCTTTTTTTGATATATATTGCGGACAACCATGGCTTCTTAAGAGCTACTCTGCCCTTAAGACTTTTGTTATGAAGACGATTTCGTACGGATTGTGATGTCAGTTGAATGTAAAACTCGCTTTCAATCTGTTTCGCAATTTTCGGAGCTGATAGTCCCCGGTCCAGCTCCGCCTTCTTCACGATAGCTCGGTCAATTCGGCCAGTTGTCTTTGAAGGACGCCCCGATCGCTTAGCTGGTGAGATAGAACCACGCTTTTTGTACATCTACACAATTCTAGCGACCGTAGCTTTGTGAAGCTGGACAATATCGGCAGTATCACGGTAGCTTTTGCCAGTTTTGTGATGTTCAATAATCAAATTTCGGATACTGATCGAAATTTGGTCTTTTTTGGGCATTTTAAAACAAATAACTTCCAATTTTGAACACAAACCTGAAATTTTGATCACGAAAACTTCAAGAGCACTAAATGACAGATAGACACAATGTTTACATTCGATAAAATTGCAGAATACACACTAAAACTCTGTAAAACACACTCAAATCATAATATCCGTTTGGGGGTGGATAAACTTTTTTTGCGTAATTTTTTACCATTTTTCATAATTTATCACATGAAATCTCAAGAAAAGATATAAACGCCGTATTTTCAATGGCAATGTGATAAATAAACATAAATTGATAAATCATGGAGGAACACTCATAAAATTAAACTGATTTTCACCAGAAAAATAAAAAAAAAAATGTTAATTGGTAGGGGGGTGGATAAACTTTTTTTTGCATACTGTATATGTCTGGATAATATCAAAAACGAGATTATACTGGGTAACAAAGGTTCTATTCACCTGCCCAGTGGATCAATTTGGGTTTTACCTCTATCAATTGGATATTACTTTTACACACACACACACACTTCCAGTTTCAACATGTTCTTTTGAATCCTGGCACGTATTAGTTTGTTTTTTTTTTAAATAGTAAAAAGTATTTGGACTGGTCTCACCATGTTAATTTGATCCTCCAATTCATGGATTCCATAGTTTAGATTTTCTCTAAGCTTTGCATCTCATTTCGTTATGCACATTTGGGAGGAGGTTCGCATCTAGTGCTTGCCCCAGTAACAGTTCGCGGTTTCCAACTACCACCCGTCCAGTCTTGGGCGTATCCAGCTCGCAATCTCCGACACGCACCGGCGAGAGACCAGCAGCCGAGCACTTTTGCAACCGGGAAATTTGCTGATTCACGGCAACATCGGCCACCAAATAACCACCAAATCTCGCGACGGACACATTATCAGCACGTTCCCGGGCTAATTCATTAGCCGGTCCGAGTCCAAACTCGCCCACGGTGACGAATCTCTCAATAGATCTTCTTCTTCTTCATCTTCGCATTTCAAGCTTATTGCATATCGCATATTAGTTTATTGCGTGCTCTCAACTTAGTGTTCTAAATGCACTTCCACAGTTATTGAGAGCTTTCAATGCCTGTACCATTTTTGCATTGGTATAATTGTGTGGCAAGTCCAGTCATACTTCTATGCCCAGGGAAGTCGAGAAATTTTCCAACCCGAAAAATTCCTAACCCGGACCGGGAATTAAACCCAGCCACTTGCACTCCAGCATGGTCTTGCTTTGTAGCTGCGCCTTTAACGATTGAGCTAAGGGAGGCTCCTCTCTCAAAAGAACTACACGCCAAAAGTGTGGCATCCAAACTCGGAAAAACGGGCCCCCGGGAGGCAATGAAAACCGACACCGAACAATGGAACTGAAGCTGCGTCGTAGATTATGGAGGTTAGATTAAAGCTCAATCGAGTCACTCAAGGCAAAACACGATATATCACTAAATGACAACTTTATGAACACTTGAAACTAAATTTCAGCACACAATTTAACAAATTTAAAGCAAAAAATGTTTAATTCGCTGACGAAAAATACGCAGCAAAAGTAAAACACGTCAGTTTTCAAGCGCGGCCTACTGCGATCTAAGTAGAATTGATTTTTTTTTCAGCTTTAAATAGGTATCGAATTGCAAACAAAGAATGAAGTCCCTCTGGGTTTGAGTTTTGGTTTTGTGGAACTTACTTCAAGATGTCAATTGACCGTTTCTCAAATAGAATTATTAAAATGCATAACCAAGATAGGTGTAGCATTGTTCACCCATTTTCATAAAATCATTTCTTTCGTAATTTTTTCGTGGCAAAAAACCGACTAGCACCATTTTCTACTTACCCAAATACGCTTGGTGGGGTTCAGCCATCTGGATGAGTGCTGAATCCTTCTTGTTGTAGAGTATCTTTACACGTTGTACATCACCATACACCCCTGTGTGGATTAGTCGGTTGGTTGGTTGGTTGGTTGGTTGATTCGTTCGGCGTGTGTTGAAGTTCAAGAGACAAACAGAAAAAAAAACGACAGAAAAGGATTAATTAGCATTATTGTCCGGAATAGTTTGTCAACGTTTTAAAAACTAACTAAATATAAAACCAAACACACACACACACACACTCGCAAAATACGCCCAAAATAAGCCAAACAAAAGTTCAACAGAACCGAGGAAGAGAGAAAACAAATCGCTAAGCTTAGTCCTTAACCGCTCGTTCATTCACCACCTCTCGCCCACACTTCGTGACCGTCACCATTTACCATCCCCATCAAAACAGCAAAAACCAACAACAATTTGTGCAATCTGCCCAACACACAAACCACCCTATCCCATCCCCCTGTCCCAGTGTGAGTATGCCGTGGATTGGGAGATCCTCCCCTGGTGATATGAGGAAACTTTGTTTTTTTTTTATTCTACAGCACACAGTTGTTCGAGTCGCAGCTTCAGTCTGTGTTGATCCGCGCGCCACAGTTTGAAACACTGTCGCCGTCTTCGTCGCCTTAAAAACTACGAACTTCTCACTCTCTCTCTCTCTCTCTGGGGCAGAAAATAAGTGTAACAGCAAGGATAATAAAAGCAGTATAGTTACGTGCAGTAGTAATTCCCGCGACGGGGTGGATTCTTCGTCGTCGCATTTGCTAAATTATTAATAGCCCGGACTCAAACCACACCGAGCTCGCGCTACGAGAGTCGCTTATCAAAGTTTTTCTTTTTCTTTTTTTTTGCGCGCGTCAATTTTCAACTCTCTACGGTGCACGGCCAACGCGAGTTACTCAACATTCAGTCAAATTTGACTCCAAAATGGAAACAAAAAAGTGGGGTTACTCAGTGAATGAGTAAAACTTTCCTCGATTTTCCAGGAAAAACTTTTTGAATATGAGGAAAATCCAGTAACCCACTTCTTGCAATTTTGAGTAGAGTTCGACTCGGTTACTGAGTCACGCTCATCGGCCGTGCGGGAGACCACTTTCAAGGAATTTCCATGTAACAAAGCGCTTTTTCCCCCCACAATTTCCCTCGGCAGGCCATGGACGTCCTCAGGAATGGTGGTGGTGGTTGTTGGTTTCGTTGGTGTGCCACGGCAACAATGAAAATGTGCCTTTTCTCTGGTTGGTCTGGTTGTATATTTTTTTTACTCACTCCTAGTGCCCTCTTTCGTCCGCGCGCCCACCACGAGAGACTTCATGGGAAAAATGTGCGAATGAGATGACAAACCGCAACGGCCGTGTGACGATGGGAAAATGCGCTCACAGGGTGCCGGTGGGTTGCGGTTTGCCTACCTTTTAGGCGCTTGGCTTGTTGTCCACGCTGCGATAAAAGACGAGCCGTGTGACAGTTTGGAACAAAGACTGGAAAGTTCTGCCCGGGCTTTTTAGGTGGTGTGGCAATTGTTGCGGTTTTCTCGTCAGATTTTTAGTTGGAAAATGTCCGCAGCGTGTGACATTGTGCTTTCCCGAAATTGTTATGCAATGTCGATGGAAGATCGGGCCATGTCAGGTGACACTTCACGTCAAATGAATTTCAATTGCAAGTCAGAAAATGTCACTCAAAGCACACAATAAATCGAACTAAGTGCATTCTAATGAAACCATAAGTTGGAAGACGTAAAACTTGTTCGTTCCTCTTAAGATATACTTCAGCATCTTACAAAGACCGAAACCAAAACTTTTCCCTTTCAAAATTGAGCTTCTTCCTGGTAGCGCCCAACTACCACCTCAAAGAACGAAGAGCAAGATACATTTCTAAGCAGATTGCACAACTTTCTCCCGTTTGAACTGTGCACCCGAAAACGATACACCGACCGGGAAGGGGTTGTATAATTTGCACTAATTAAGCAGTTTCCCTTCCGGAAGTCCATCCCCGCTTGCAGCAACTTCAACTCCAGGTCAAAGGCACTCGGCAGGAAATGGCTTGAAAAATTCCTTCCAAATCGTAAATAATCCTCATCCCTTTGTCACATTTCTATTCTACAACAGCAGCAACAACAACAACAACAACGGTGACCGACCCCCTCGGTCCGAGGGGAGAGCGAATAAATATTGACTTGCCCCCCACCACACACACACACACACACACGAGAACACAATCGAATTCCTTCGATCTTCGATGGCGAACGGAGGTGGACAATACGTTTTTCTTGAGGATGACTTCCTCTTTTTTCCACACCCAAAGACGACGACGACGACGACGACGACGAAAGTAAGTACATCATAAATAAAAATAAATCCATTGCCATATTTGTCATTGCAGCCGGGGTTCGAAAATCGAAATGTCACATTTGTCGTCGCCGATGGGATTGGAGCGGAAATATTGGAAATTGGCACTTCCTTCTGTGAAGAAATGTCAAGAATGGGACATTTTGTTGCTTATGATCGTGGATAAACGTACTGATTTCAATGTGATAAATCGGTATTGAGTCCGCAGAGTTTCGTCCCAGCAACGTGTTGCACACATTAGAGGAAATTTTAGAGCTGTTGAAGTACTTAAATGTTGATACCAGAAAAATCGGGGTATCGGGAAGGTCATTCTTGTGAAAATGCGTTAAATTTGGTATTAGCAAAGTGGAAATATAATTAAGATTTTTGAGTCTAAAACGCGCTGATGAAACAATTTCTAGGCCCTTATTGCTACGATCAATCAAGCGCTTTGGAGCTACGAGCGCTGCACATAAATGGTTTAAAAGCTATTTGTGTGACAGAACTCAACGGACTGTTTTTAAAGATTCTATTCCCAGTCCCGCGGGGAATAATCTCGGAGTGCCCCAGGGAAGTGTATTAGAGCCCCTTTTATTTATTATGTATATTAATGACTTGCGACGTGTTTTACGATTTGCGACGCCAATCTTTTTGTAGATCATACTGTGTTATTAATTGCAGCTAAGGATTCAAATGATGCCGCTTTACACTTGAATGACTATTTGCATTCTCTAATTTGAGGTTGAAGTATAAGCAATTGAGGTTGAATATAAGTAAAACTAGAAAATTCATGGTAATTCCACGGAATCGAGTAAATTTTTTTTCTTTGAATCGACCTTCTCCGATTTGCTTGAAACTTTGCGTAATTGTTTGTTAATCAATGATTCACATTTTTACTAAAATTCGGCATTTTGGATCTTGAAAATTTTTCAAAATGGCGTCCTTAAAATTTATCAGCAAGATAAACGGCATTTCTGATCGAAATTACGTCTGACACAAAGTTGTAGAGGAAAATAATGTCGATCTAAAATGCCCGAATTTTAGCAAAAATAGGAATTATTTCCCATAACAAAAAATTATGCAAAGTTTCATGCAAATCGGAGAAGGTCCAGATTTTCCGATTTGTCATTTGGCATGGAACTGCTCTTTATAAGGTTCTGGACAATCTCAGAATTTTAATGCAGTTGTGGCATTTTAAAGCTATTTTGGTGTTTTGTGACCGTTCTGGTGTTTTTAAGGAACTCATCTTCTTCGTATTCTTCTTGCACGTGCTAATCCAGTAGAATACCGATCTAACGCCAGCGTTGGCCTAAAGAATTTCCTTAATAGGTCCAGAAAGCCTTCGTTGGATCTCAAACACTAATCCTACTGACCTTGGGGAAAAGCTCGCATGGTGTTAAAAAACCTATTTCCAGAAGAGCTCGAGTGCGAGCCCAATTTAGGAGCACTCAACGTCACGAGATAAGTACATGCTGATGATCGAAAGGAGACGGGAGGGGTTGGTATCTGAATAACCCCATCGATAACCAGAAAGCTGCGAAACAAACAATCCGACGAAAAACACTGCCACGCCAAGTTCAGTGGGCTTAAATAACAAATCTACAGGGTAATGAAGAGAGTTCGGGAGGACCTCATGTCAAGAGGTTATTAAAGGTGCAGTCTTCGGGACTCAAAGGATGCCAAACAAGTTCTACCATGAGAAGCGCGGAGTTGTGCTGGTCAGTCGAAGTACGTTTCAGAACAGGTCAGGAAGATCTTCGGTATAAGTCCAGAGAACCTTCGGAGAAACCTACCAGAGAAATAATACTCCTTTTGGGGAAAGTTCGTAGGACTTAAAACATGCTGGTTTCAGCGAGAATTGTCAGGATTCCAAAAATGAGTCTAGAGATCTTCCATGACAAGTACCGAGAACCCCGATGGAAGGGACAATTTGGTAATCTTTGAAACCAACTTCTGCATATTTTACTGGTAAAACTTTAGGGCATTCCAGAGCAGTTCAAATGCAGCTAGATTGTCTTCGGTTGAAGTCTAGTCCAGGGATAATTTGAAGGACAACTTCAAAAACTTCAATCCACAAACTCTCCCATTCCCTCCAAGCAACAATTCTGGTTTTATAATGCTCTTGAAGACCTTGAGGAGTGCTTTAAAACCTCGATAAATCTTGTAATGTTCCCGGAGCTGTGTTCTGCAATTCTGCAAATACTCCAGGCAACTGTTTTGGTAGTACATAAGACCCGCCCTTAACGTCTCCCGCTTGGATTCACGGTTGAAATCCACAAATCACCGAAATGCACTAGATTCGGTAGATATCCAAATTCAGAAGTCTCCAGATCCAGTCTCGAAGTTCCGAAAAACCGTCCCAAAGGGATTCAGATGACTTTCAGATTCGCCTCGAGCTATCCCGGCCGGCGTTAGAAGAATTCTGGATATGGATTAGAAATTATTGTCCACCACAAACTGCTTTTTACGTGTCTGGAAGTCCAATGGAAACCGCGCCTTCGAAGTCGCTCAAACCTGTCTTTGAAGGATTTTTCTTTTAATTATATAGTTTGTCCGGGGGTGATATTTGAACTCGTGACTTTGGCGTGAGAGGTATAGAAGCTAACCACTACGCCGGGGTTGCCCCTCTTTGAAGTTCATCCTCACCCTTAAGGTTGAAGCTCACCGAATCTATGACCGGCAACTTGATTTGATACCCTTTAAAAAAATTTATTCTGAAGATTTTGGGTGGACAATCTTCCATT